TGGTTCCCTCGCGCGGAGCGTTTTCCTCAAAACTCCCCTCTCGCGGAAAGCCAGGCCCCGTCTTCCTTCCCCATAGCGATTTGGCGCAGTCGGTAGGGGCGTTTGCTCTCCCACGAAATTTTTTGGACTTTTTGTCGGTTCGACCTCCTAGGCCCAGAATTCGTTTTGCTTTTTATTTTAGGGGGCTGGATTTTTATTTTAATTATCTAAATGCGTTAAATAAACGTTCTGAACAGCATCGGTGGAGGCACAAGCGGGCCAGTTGATTTTAATCCCTGAGACGCAAGTGCAACGTTACCGGTTTGGGGCATACCTCAAAAACAAATTAATTTTGTAGTAGATTCTACATTTCAAAAGCGTTCAGGAATTAAAAAGCAAAACGAATTCGGGGCCCTGGGGGTTCGAACCGATAAAGATCCAAAGAATTTCGTGGGAGGCAAACGCCCTACCGACTGCGCCAAATCGCTATGGGGAAGGAAGACGGGGCCTGGCTTTCCGCGAGGAGTTTTGGAGGAAATCGCTCCGCGCGAGGGGAACCATGCCAATTTCTGCTAATTCTTTAATTTAATTATTAAAAATCAATCGCTATCGTTTCGCAGAAATGGAAAACGGGATCTTGCTCAGTTTTTCAAGCTCTTTCGAATGAGCTAGGTCTCGTTACGAAACTCCGTGCCCACCTAAAAACGTCTCCTTGTTAGCTTAGGCATAGCTTAGGCTTGGCTTAAGCTTAGGTTTAGGCTTTGGCTTGGGCATGGGCTTCGGCTTAGGCTTAAGCTGAGCTTTCGATTGGCTTAGGCTTAGCTTTGGCTCGGCTTAGGCGTATGCTTAGGCAAATTTGGCTTAGGTTAGGCTTAGGCTTAGCTTAGACTTAGCGTAGGCTTAGCCTATCTCTACTTAGCTTTTCTGAGCTTTCCTGTTTAGGAAGTGGCCGAGGGTGAAGCGGTGGCGATGGCCGAGCGCGAAGCGCAATGGGAGGAGCAACGTCAGCAGTTTAAGGTTTATATAGTTTTATTTTTATTGTGGCATATTTTAGCTACTTCCTTTTGAATAATTTAATCATAATAATCGAAAAACTAAAATACAGGAAGAAATCGAGGACTTGCGCGACAAAGCAGCCGGTAGAGCCGAGGGCCTTGGCGAGGGCGTTCGATGCACTGAAGAACCAAGTCGACGCATTAAAGGTAGGTGAGGGGGGATATTTTTTACGTTATACATCAAATTACAGGCTCTTTTATTAAAACGTTTAGGAAGAAAACCGGCAGCTGCGCCAGGAGAATCGGGACCGCGATCGCGAGATTGCCGACCAGCGGGATAGGTGGGGAAACCCTTTTTGAGTTTTTATGGCGAACTAGAGGTTTCTAAAGGACCAGGCAAGCTAGCAGAGAGTCTTTACTAGATGTTAATCGATTAATTTAATGTTCTTTTATATAAGTAATAAAAACATTTCAGATTTGAAAACCTGGTCGCGCGCACTGAGGCCCTACAACGAGAGCGGGATACTTTGCTATATAATGTGGGTCTGAAGGGCGTTGCTTGGGCTTGGGCTTGGGCTTGGGCTTAGGCTTAGGCTTAGGCTTAGGCTTAGGTTTAAGCTTAGGCTTAGGCTTAGGCTTAGGCTTAGGCTTAGGCTTGGGCTTAGGCTTAGGCTCAGGCTTATATTGATTTTAGCGCACCCAAATGGAGGACACGATTCGAGAGATGAACAGGAGAATATCGTCAAAGAGCGAGGAACGGACGGACTGGGAAACGCGAAAATTGCGACAGCGGAACGAGCAAGCAGCCCAGCTCTCCGAGCAGATACATGTCGGTGAACTCTCTCGCTCTCTCTCTCTCTCTCTCTCTATCTCTCTCTCTCTCTCTGTCTCTCGGGCGCTCTTTCTCTCTCTCTCCCTTCAACGCTCAAACTCAGGTGGTCGTCGCTCAAAACGACGAGCTGCGCGAGGAGATCACTCGGCTTTCGGCTGCTCTGGAGCAGGCGACGAAGCTGATCGAGGATACTGGGAGAAAGTGAGGCCAGGGCAGGCTAGCGGAGATCCTTGGAACCAGGGCAGCTAGCAGAGAATCTTTGAAGATCCCTATCATAATTTTTTCAGGTACGCCAACTTAACCGAAATCTACGAAAATTCCAAGCAACGGATCGTAGGGCTGTCCAAGGAAATCGATATGCTTAACAGCCAGGTTGGATTTAGGCTTAGGCTTAAAGGTACACTAAAATCTCGTTCAAAAAGTTCGGTAGCGGTAGGAAATTTGGGCTCTCTGCCGCAGCCGACCGAGCCCTTCTTATCGCCTCTCCTTCCCCCTTCAAGATCTATCCCTGGCCTAGCGGTCCAAGGCGCTGCCCCATGCTGGCAGCCAGGGTTCGGTTTTGCTCCGCGGCGAGCGCCTACCGTAACCCTGTTTGCTATCCCGCGGACGGTTACCGGCCGGTAACCAAACCAACGAGACTTTAGTGTACCTTT